AAACTGCAGTGTCTCTGTATGCTGGTTTGTGTGTTCTCCAACAACACTCTCACAACGTTTCTCTGAACGTACTCGCTCTCCCAATGGGGAGCTTACCTAACAATATCCTTCCTCAAACTGCCATTCTCCAGATATGTCTGATTATAAATCCCATCATTCCCTGAAAGCAAGGCTAATAGAACCCAAGGCTGGCATACCTGACAAAAAGCAAGAACCCCAAAGAATTTTAGGCTGACAGAAAACATTGTGCATGTTCTGTTTTCATGTGCTGATGATTTCAGCCCATGCAGCAGAAGGGGAAGAAAACGTACTGGTGTAAGCTTAGCCAACATGTGACATACCTACCCATATCTGTGATCCAGATGGCTATCCTCTCATATAGGAAATTCAATATCATAATGATGATAAAATTGAGGAATGATGCTGTGACTGACGTTGCCAGTTGTGGTGTCAACAAACCTCGAATGGGTTGCAGGGTTTCTGTGTTCTCCATGATGCTGGCAAAAGCAGCATAGACTGCAAGGCGGTAAACTATCACAGCTATCATGCTCGCTATGATTAAAGAGATCTGAGATAACCACATAAATTAAGACTACTTAGGATTTGAAACCAGAGAAATTAGTGTGTCATGCAAACTGCACATTGTGAATAAATGTTTAGAAAGTTCTATCAAGATTGCACAAAATAAGTGGAAGAAAACATTCTGAATACTTCTGCTTCCATAATGGAATTAGATTGCTTGTTTTTCCTTTTCTATTTTTTAAGTAAAATAATAAATTATTTCTGTTATCTTCTGCTTTCTATTCAGAGAAGAATTAAGCATGCAGTTCTTTTCTTCATAGGAGCTACAGTCCCAATGGAGCTGTAACATTTATTGTTTTATTCATTTTAAATGTGCCATGCATGTTCATGCAAAGTATACCAGTGCAATTCTATCACATAATCCACCAACAAGAGTTGGAAAAACATTATATAGTTGTAGCAACAACTGCCTATTGCAATTTGAACACATCTCAGGTAAATCCTGAAGGAAGTGTCATCAATAATTACACAATAAGAAACTGTTATTTAAAAGGGGTGGGAGGAGGTACTTAGGCCATATATATGTGTACTTTGCATGGCAGCAGGAAGATAAAACTGGAAAACGTTAGTCAGAAATCCCCAAAGCAACAAGCATGAGTGAAAGAGATCCAAAGCAAAGAGGGCCATTCTTGCATGCTAAAAACCCAAGCTTAAAAAGTGATCAGTGGCATGTTAGTGTGATGAATCAAAAAGAGCTCACCCAGAACAACACTGTAGTTCCTGAGATGCAGAACCGTATAGCCTGGCTAGTTAGAGGTAAATAAGGCTCCATCTCCTGAAACAATCAAGCAAGCACAGCACTTTTCACCACCCGCAGTCACAGTTGTATGTAGACCACTGCAGAAAGCAACCTCAAACATTAGGAGAAAGCAAATCCCGTGTCCCCTCCCTCACAAACGCATAATATGGCACATTTCCTCTTTTGGGGGAAAAGCTGGAGTGGCAGACTGAATGAGAGGTTGCCCATTTACCAGGTCATCCTATTATTTATTTTAGGCTTTACAATGACTTTATGAACAAAATGTTGCTATTTGAAAGTCGAGAGCAGATTTCTTTTCAGTGGCCAATATTAATTGTTCAGAAAATTGTTCAGTGGGTACTCCCATTCATCACTCCATATTATGATGCTTTCCTTTTACCCCACATGAAGAAATGGCTTGTTTTATTAGTTTTGCCACTCTTAAGCTGCAGCAATTGGTGCAGCCCTCTCTTACCCAAAACAATACTCCAAAGTATAACAAGCTCAGTTTTCCATAGTCATGAATGCTGTTCCTCTTAAACAGTTCTACCTCCTAAAACATCAGTTGAAAAAGGAATAATTAAAGAATGAAAAGGCTTCTGCTGAACATCAATTTAAGGGGATTTTGGACTGGTTCAAGTAATTGTAGATTGGTTTGCAAAAAAATAATGCACAAAGCTCTTGCCTGTATATACAATCATTCACAAGTTTTATTTCTGTAAGAGAATGATTCCCAAGGATGGATGAAAAGGTCAGTTCTGTATGCCCTTGTCATGTTTGCTCACATAGATCCAATGTGTACACATAGACAAATCAACAGAGGCATATATATTTCACTTCCCAAATAGGTCTTCATCATTGGCAAATTATAAACACTTTTTAATTAGCAGACTATAAATGCATACTGTAAAAATATCTTAACTGCCTTAGCAGGGAGATACAGTGCTATCTGTATCTGTATCAGCCACTTGGGCTTTGAGAGATAATGACAATTCTATGAAGAGGAAGAGAGGGGAGGGAGGGAGGGAGGGAGAGAGAGAGAGAGAGAGAGAGAGAAAGAGAGAGAGAAGATAGACAGACAGACAGACAGACAGACAAACAGACAGACAGACAGAAGGGATAAGGTTCTATTAGACTGCCTTGGAGATAGGCAGGTACTACCAATCAAGCAAACATTATGATATCGACAAGGACCAGCAGGAAAGAGGTGGGATAGATTTATCAGTGCCTAGTGACAGCAATCTCAGGAAGAAAAAGTATGAGAAGCTGGAGAAGTACCAGGCCTGATGGAAGAAT